CCCCCCCCCCCCTTTTTTCCCTTTTTTTTTAAAAAAAAAAAAAAAAAAAAAAAAAAAAAAATTCTCCAAATGAAAGAAGAAGAAGAAAAAAAATAACAACAGAAAATCCTCACCAAAAATAATTCCGAAAAATTATCATTTTGAATTTATTTTTTTTTAAAGAAAAAAAAATAATATTTTTTTCTTTCTTCTAAATTCAATAATTTTCTCTCTTTCTCTCTCACACACCTAATTAAATAATTGATTTTGTTTGTTTGTTTATTTATTTTAAATCAAAAGAATGGTCAAACCATCATCATCATCAACAACAACAACAACAATAACAACCACAACAATCCAGAAATTGTAAAAGAGAGATGCCAAAATAATAAAGAAAATATCACATTATTCTTTGTAGAAATTTTTTTAAAAATTATCAAAATAATTTCATCAATTTTCATCTGTTTGTTTGTTTGTTTGTGTGGTTTGGTTTTCTTTTTGTTTTTCCTAAAGAAAAATGATTTGAATTGAATTGAATAAAATTCAAAATTGTCAATTCGGAAAACAAAACAAAAAAAAAGTGATAATCAAATCATCTGGCCAATTTTTGTTTCGAATTACATCAACAACTACAAAACTAATCAACACTACAGGTGAAAAAAGTTGTTCAAATTAAAATGAATTTTGTTACATTTTTCATCAATATTTTTTGACTGATTGAATTGATTGATAATAATGACAAGAATTTTGTGAATATAAATTCTTTTTTTCTTTTGTTTGACAAAACAAAAATAATAAAAGTTTGGTTGGTGGTGGTGAAGGTGTGTGTGTAAAGGTGTGGAGAGTGTGTGTGTGTGTGTGTGGTAGAGTTGGGGGAGAGAGAAGGTGTGTATGTGAGTGTTTGTTTGTTTGTTTGGTGGGTGTGTTGATTAGATGTTCTTTTAATCCTCAATTTGATTATTTATAGTGGTGTTTTTGGAAAAAAAGGGGTTAATTTTTTTTTCCAAACAGTGGGTGTGTGTGTGTGTTAACTTTTGGATGTTTTTTTAATCCAAACTGTTGCTGGTTGGAATTTAAAAAATTTGATTATCATCAACGTTCAACATTGAATCCATTGTGTGTTTTACTAATTTAATTGTTTTGTTTTTGTTCTTTTGCTTTTTGTTCAACGACGACATTATTTAAAAAAAATTTCAAAACAAATCAAAAATCAATCGATCAATCAATGCACACCTTGTTTTTCTGTTTGTTTGATTCTTCTATTCAGATTAACGATTATTCGTTCAAATGGATGTACAAGCGCCAATAACACTGCCGTGTCTATAAATATTCAAAAAAAAATAATAATTTCCAAAAGAAAATAGAAAATTTTTGAAAATCAAAGAAATTCAACACACACAAAAAACATTCTGCAAAATATTGGAAGCCAAAAAACCGGAACACATATAAATCAGAAAGTCTGAATTGAATTTTTTTCTATTTAAATGAATTTAAAACTAAAATATTTTTTTTTCTATTCATTGAATTTACAGGTCCAGAATTTTTAAAATTTCGAGCAAAAAAAAAACCAAGAATTTATTGTTCAAAAATTCATTGTATTTAAAGTCAACGTCAAAAATAATAATCACAGTATTGAATTATCTCATTATATCATATAATCATCATCATCATTAACTTTTTTTATTTTGTGGTATTGATTCTATTCGAAAAAAAACTAAAACCAAAATTTTAATCACGATTATCGATTTAAAAATTCAAATTCATTAATCAATTTAACCCGTTCACTGCCTATCTATTCAACAACATCCACATATTTTATTTAATTTTGAAAATATAAAATTTTATCAACAAAGAAAAAAAATCGGGCCTAAATTTTATCCAACAAAATTGAAGAATTGAAAAAAAAAAAATTTTTGACACACAGCGCATTCACATAATACGTATCGATTTGAGTTCAATTCTATTTTGGTTTCAATTTCAAGAATTTTGTTTTGTTTTGTTTTGTTTTGGTTGTTGAAGAAAAAAAAAAAGAAACCGGTTGAATATTTGATGAAAAGAAAATTTTGTTTACATTCTTCGATTGAAAAAAACAACAAAATTCTAGTCTCATTTTCAATGTGTGTTTGGATCAATTGAATTGATTGATTGATTTTTTTTAATTATCATCTGTATTTGATTGTGTTTTTTGGTGTTGGTGTGTGTGTGTGTGAAAGTGTATGTAATTTTTGTTTTTTGTATCTAAAAATTCATCTTATTCAATTGCTTCCTTTCTTCTTCTTGTTTTTTAAATCACAAAGACCCACACCAGATACATACACCGGTCATCATTATCATCATAATCATTAATTTTTTTTTGTAATTGAATTTTGTGCAATTTTTTTTCTATTAAAAATTTGTGATTTAAATATTTAAAATTCATCATCATCATTACCATCATTCATCAAACACACACACATGTTGCAATTAAAATAATCAATTACCAAATTTAAACAAGAAATAAATTCATCAGTCAAAAAGAAAATCAATTGAATTCAGCTCAAGATTTTTTGGTTTTTTTCGTTTTGTTGTGGAAAAGTTTTGGGAAAAGAATAAAAAAGAAGAAATTTTCTTTATAATCAGGATCATTTTTTCCCGCAAAGTTTTCATCCTTAATTTTTTTCTTCTTCTTCATTGAATGAAAAACAAACATCGGCAACAACGACGACGACGAATATCCCGTCCAAACTGGAAGAATTGAATTTGACCACCAAAATAATTGAAAAACGACAACAGTAGCAAAAAAAAATTAAAGATAGATCTTTATTGATCCAATCAATTAATCAATCAGCCAACTAGCCATTATAATTTACAATTTTCCTTCATTATTAATCATTATTATTATAATCCATCATCATCATCATCATCATTAGAACATATATTCATCAATTTATCTGGGCATCCAAATTAATTAGAAAATTTTTCATTCATTTTTTTCAAAAAATTTCAGCTATAACATCAACAATAATAGCAACAAAAAAAAAACTACATTATCAATTTATAAGACCTCGTGTTTGTTTTATGATTATTCGTCCGGCGTCTTTTTATTTTAAAAAAAGAAAAGAAAAAATAATAATAAGACGCATCAGTGACGAGTAATCATATAAACAAAACAACAACAAAAAAAACCAGAAAATTTTTTCATCCGAAAGGATATTGTTGAAAATAAAAACCGCAACCACGGGTATTACAGTGATGGCGTGCTGTCTGAGCGAAGAGGCGAAAGAACAGAAAAGGATAAATCAAGAAATCGAACGCCAACTTCGCAAAGACAAGCGAGATGCTCGTCGTGAGCTCAAATTATTATTACTTGGTAAGTTTTTTGTTTGGTTTTCAATGTTTTTCATAAAATTTTAACTTTTTATCAATCAATTGTTTTAGACAACAGGTCTTGATTGACCTAAAGAATTATTATTATTATTTCTAAATTGATTTTCTTTTCTTTTCTTTTTTTTGCATTCGAATATCATATCATTTTTTTTATCGAATGTGATGCAAAAAAAATAAGGCTAAAAGGCTTTTTTTGGGTGTCCGTGGTTTTTAGATTTAGTATTAGCGAATAATAATAATAATAATCGAGATGGAACAAAAAAAAATCCAAAATTCTTTTATCCAGTCAATAAGAATATTTGTGTATGGCCCATTTGCCCGTTTATTATTATTATTATTGATGATGATGATGATGATGATGGTTAAGGTTTTTTTTATATTCTCTATTTTGGCGCCCACTACATCAATGACCTCAATTCCATTACCACCAACCAACCAACCAAAAAAAAAAACAAACCCAAAAGAATGTTGGAAAACGAAGAATGTAGAAAAATCTTTACACAGACTCAGAATGAATCATTCTTTTTTTTTAAGACAAAACAAAACAAAAAGCATTGGCTGTATATGTGTGTGTGTGTGTGGTTATTGTCAAAATTCTTGGGTTTACTTTTTGGGTTTTCGGAATATTTAATTCCTCCCACATGCCCGAATCTTATTTTTTTCCCCCGTTTTTTTTCTTGATAATATTCGGGTCGAATATTGTGTGTGTGTGTCTGTTTGTAAGTAGATATATTGTACAGGAGGGGAAAAAAGAGACAAACGGTACAATGTTTGTGCTCATTTTTTTTCTCTCTCTTCTTATTCCAACAATTTTCTTTTCTTTTTTTAAAATGAAATACATGTTTTCTTAAGGATTCTGGCCCAAATCCATGAAAAAAAATATATGATGATGATGATAGCGATAGGTTCATGTTGAACTTATTATACGGTGCGATGGCGAAGATTGATCCAAGTAGAAAATTTCGTTATTAAAAATATTCGGATCAAAAGTCGAATGATGCTTATGGAAAAAAAATTATGAATTTCATAAAAGATTCAGTAAGATAGGTCCTTCCAGATTTATACCGGTGATAAACAAGAATGAAACCGAAAAAAAAATTGAAAGTTATAGTAAAGGTAGTGGCCATCGAAATAATGTTGTCATTTTTCCGCATACCTTTGACAATGTATAAAAATTTCCTAATAATATAAAATAACAACAATGGATCATCCATTCATCTCTATCTTATACAAGATTCAAATCTAGGTACAAATCATTTTTTTCCCATATTAAAAGAAGAAAAAAAAAGTGACAAAAAAGGTGATTCCAGTATTATATGTATAAAAAATTATGACTGGCCTACTACCAGATTTTTGTTTTTTTTCCCACTATAATCCATCCTGTTCATGGATTTCCAGCTAAAACATATTTTTTCATCTATCATTTCATTTGAATAAATTTGACTGGACATTGATTTTTATTGATGATTTTTATTTTCCTTTCTCTTTCTCCTTTCTCCTTTCTCTCTCTCTTCGTAATTGAATGAATTATCAAAGAATGATGATGATCTTTCAATTTAACATTTGTAAAATTCAATTCAGGGTTTTTCCCCTTTAATTTCTCTCTCCAACTTTAACCATTCACTCATTTGTCGTTGGCCATCTGAATGTTTTTTTGTTTTGTTTTGCATTTTTGATTAATTTTTTTCTCCTAAAATCATTCATTTTTCCTTTGGTTTTTTTTTCGTTGTTGTCGATATGGAAATCCAAAAACTAAAAAAAAAAATCCAGAGTGATTCATTGAGAAATAATTTCGATTGATTTTTTTTTTGTAAAACAAAAAAAAATTACAAAGTTTTAAAATTTGGTTAATTTAGATAATGAAATCATTTGTTTTAATTAACAATTTTCAATCTTATCAATCTTTAATAAAATGATGATTGTTTTTGTGCAACTATTATATTGGTGAAGCACCTGTAGATTTTGTTGTTATTTTTTTATTTTTTGGCTGTATTTTCATATGACCATAGATTTGATGATTTTGTTGTCGATGATGTTTTCCAATTTTTTTTCTTTCTCGCAATGAAATTTGACATTTTGAAAATAAAAAATGATTTATGATCTGTTTGTTTGTATAGTCTTTGTTAATCCTCATTTTTTTGATTGGATATATTGATTTGACAAAGAAAGAATACAACAACAACAACTGAAAAAATTGTTGACTTATCTGACTTTGATTTTTAATTGATTGACAATTTTTTTTCAAATTTGTATTTTGATTTGTAAAAATAAAAATTGATTTCAATTTGATTAAATCATATCGCTTGTTGTGTGTGTAACATATGAAAACAGGCCGCACCTTTGTTTTGTTTTCAAATTTTTCTTTGTGGGTAAAATTTCAATTAAATTTTAAAGAAAAAAAGAACCGATAGTCTTTTTTTCTGAGTTTGTTTATAGTAAATTCTCTTTATTATTATCTTCAAATAGAAATGAAAATTCTGAATGTTTATTCTGAATTCATTCATTTAATCGTTGTGTGTGTGTAAAAAGAATGAATGAAAAAAAACACCAGGATTCCATAAAAATAATGTTATAAATTTCACAAGCTATATAGCTAAATGGAAGAAAAAAAATTTTTTTAAATAAAATTTTTAAACAGACCAAACAGAATATTCTGCCAGACACTTGTAGAACTTGAATTTTTTTTGTTGTTGTTGTTGCAACTAACTTTACGCATTGCCTCTCTGTGTGATGATGGTGTTTTATGTTGTTTTTTTCACTATTTTTTGATGAAAATTTTTCAATCATTTTTAAGAATAAATCTTTTGATTGATCGATTGATTGATTGATTGATTGATTAAATCAAAATTATAAATTACATTTATTCTTTATTGAAAGAAGGTAGTAGTAGTGGTAAGAATTGTAACAAAATGATGAAACAAAATTCTAACCACACAAACACCAAACAGGTACTGTGGTTGCCAAAATAATCATCATCATCATCCATTTGAACGGTATTGTTTTCTGTTTTTGTTTGGATGTAAATTTATGGAATTTTTTTCTTTTTTTTCGGGTTTTTGTAAAATGAAAAAGATACTTTTCATTTCATGTTTCTATAATTCATTAAATAATTTTAAACAAGAAAGAAAAATGAAAAAATCATTAATAAATTTTTTCATTTTTTGTGTTAATGTTTTGATCGATTGCCAAAGAATTGTTGAATTTTGGTGGATGGAAAAAGGATTGATGAGAATTTTTTTCTATGAATATTAAAATGGAAATTTTTAAAGGAATTTTTCGATACAATTATCATTTAAATAATCAACAAGTTTATTGATTTGGATTTGTTTGGATTTTTTTTTCTCAACATTTAGGAACGGGAGAATCGGGTAAAAGCACATTCATCAAACAGATGCGTATCATACATGGATCAGGATATTCGGATGAAGATAAAAAAGGTTTTATTAAATTGGTCTTTCAGAACATATTTATGGCCATGCAAAGTATGATCAAAGCGATGGATATGCTCAAAATACCTTATAAAGATAATAAAAATATTGTAGGTTTTTTATTTTGGAAAATTTTTCTTTCAACAATTTTAATGACAAATTTTTTTTTACTTTGTTTTGCGATAAAAATAAATAGGAAAATGCCGATCTAGTACGTTCGGTTGATTATGAAACAGTGACCACATTTGATAGTCCATATGTTGAAGCAATCAAATGTTTATGGGCCGATTCTGGTATACAGGAATGTTTTGATAGAAGAAGAGAATATCAGCTCACCGATTCTGCCAAATAGTATGTTGATGGTTTAATTTGAAATTTTTTAAAATTAATTTTTTTGTTTTTTTTTAAAACTAGCTATTTGAGCGACATTGATCGGATTGCCGCACCAGATTATTTGCCTACTCAACAAGATATTCTGCGTGTCAGAGTGCCTACTACTGGCATCATAGAATACCCTTTTGATCTTGATTCAATTATATTCCGGTTTGTTTTTGTTTCAAAAAAAAAAAAAATAATTTTTACTTAATCGATTTATAATTTTAGGATGGTCGATGTCGGTGGCCAAAGATCCGAAAGAAGAAAATGGATACATTGTTTTGAAAATGTGACCTCAATTATTTTTTTAGTCGCCTTAAGTGAATATGATCAAATTCTATTCGAATCGGATAATGAGGTAAATTTTTTGTTTGTTTTGTTTTTTTTTTGCTTCATAATTTTACATTCACATTCACAATATAAATGAATAGAATCGAATGGAGGAATCGAAAGCATTGTTCAAGACCATAATAACATATCCATGGTTTCAGAACTCCTCCGTTATATTATTTCTAAATAAAAAAGATTTATTGGAAGAAAAAATTATGTATTCACATTTAGTTGATTACTTTCCCGAATATGATGGTAAGAAAATTTATTGTTTTTTTTTTGAAAATGAATGAATCTCAATTTCAATTTTAATTTAATTTTAGGTCCAAAAAAGGATCCATTACATGCCAGAGAATTTATATTAAAAATGTTTGTCGATCTCAATCCAGACAGTGAGAAAATAATTTATTCTCATTTTACCTGTGCAACAGGTAAGTTATTTTTATTGTTATTAATAGTTTTAAACTAAAACAATAATTTTTTCCACTAGATACGGAAAATATTCGATTCGTTTTTGCTGCTGTGAAAGATACAATATTACAGTCAAATTTAAAAGAGTACAATTTGGTCTAACAATAATAATAACAACAACAATGATAATAATAATAATAATAGCAACAACAACAACGTCAACAACAACAACAAATCATCCATTAATATTGATGCAATTGAAATCAACAAAAAAAAACAATATTCAAAACCCAAATACCGACACACACACACACACACGGCCATACATCCTGCAGAATATAAAACAAAATTTCTGGCTATATTTGTAGAAAAAAAAAGTTGTCCCTTTTTTGTTGTGTTTTGTTTATGCAATATGTGACAATTAATTCATCCATTGATTGATTGATTGATCAATAATCAATCAATCAATACACATAAACATATATACAGGATATAGGCAAACCAAAATATGATGAATATGGTGCTGCAAAAATTTTTTTCCCCTTCATTCATTATTTCATTCCTTTATTATTTGTGCATCTCCGGTTACGAAACACCTACACACAAGTACACACAGTGAGAATGAAACTGGTTGAGAAATTTTTTTTCTTCTGAATTCTGGAAAAAATGATAATTTGGATGATGATCGAAAATGAATTTTTTTTTGTGTTGTTGTTTGTTTGCTTGTTGAAATATTATTATTATTATCATCATCATCATCAGCGATAATAATTTGGATTCGGTTGTTTTAAACAAAATGGCCAAAAAGTACCATCCAAACAATCATTACCATCACACATCTTTATCATCAACAACAGCAACAGAAATAAGCAAGAACAAAAACAAAAGAAATCTACGAATCTATTTGCATTTATAAATAGGAATATTTTATTATAAAATTTTTGAAATTCAAATTGCACATATATCTTTATATCATCAATATGCGATGCTTCAACCAAACAGCCAGCCAGCCAACCAACCAACAAATGTGAAATCGCAAGACCAAAACAAAACGACAACAGCAAAGAAATTTCGATGGTTTTTCTTTTTTCTCATTTTTTTTGATACAGAAAATTTTTTTATTATTATTATTATAATCCTAATTATTAATATTATAATTACCAAAAAAAATATATACAAAACAAATACAAAATTACAAATGACAAAAACAACAATGAAAAAAAGCCCCGGCATCAACCTCGCAAAAGATGAAAAGAAAGAAGAAAGGAAGAAGAAGAAGAAACAATAAATTCATTTTTTTCAAAAAATTAATTCATCATCCACATCATTCATTGATCCATCATCATCATCATCATCATCCGAATCAACATTTATCGATTTTTTTTGTTTTGTTTTGTTTTGTTTCCTAGCCAATCACCGATAACTACATTTTCAACAAAATAATTTCATCGTGTACAAATTGAAAAACAAAAAACTTCAACAACAACAGCAAACACACTATCTTCAGAAATACCAAAAAAAAAGACAAATAGGAACCAACCAAAATACATTTTCATTTTCATTTATTCATGAATTCAGTAACCAAAAAAAAAAGTGAATAACATCTTTATTGTCGTTCTTCTTCATGTTTGTTTGTTTGTTTGTAATCAACAGGTGTAAACAACATAACCGCCCATCCCCCCATCCATTCTCTATCTATCTAATCCATCAATCCATCCAATCTCAAATTCCACACATTAATACACATTCATCAAATAGAGAATTTTTTTGTTTCTGTTCTTGAAATCATTCAATCGAATTGACAATATTTATGATTATTTAGAATCAGTAGAATCATCATCAGCTGCAGCAGCCAATTACAGAATATTCTGTTTTTTCTTCTTCTTTTTGTTTTGTTTTTGTTTTTTTGGTTTCAGGTTTCTTTGTTCTTCAACAATATTCTTTCTTTCTTTCTTTCAATATTCATACAGGTGTAGTGTAAATTTAAATTATTTCAACAAAATTATAATCAAACTAATCTAATCCAGTTGCAAACAAACAAACAAACAAATCAATCCGAAAATCCAAAGAGTAGCCAATATTATAAATACACACACACACACACAGAGACACAGACACAAATTACATGATATTAGAGGGCAAAAATTTAAAATAGCAGAAACAGAATTACAAAACAAACAAAAAAATGGCCAAAACTAAACAAAAAATAATTAATTTTTTTTCCTTGTTGTTGTTCTTGTTGTTATAATCAGAATTTTTAAAGATTTTTTTTTTGCTTTTGTTTTATTTTGAATTCATTTTATCGTTACAAACCGTCACACACACACACACACACACATCGATTCATGAAAATCTTAATTTTTTTTTTGTTCTTCGTTATTGTGCCGACCATTGCTATAGATTTTTTTTTTCATTTTTCAAATTTTTTTTTCATTATCATTATTGGTCATCATCATCATCACCACCATCCAATCATCATCCGATCATCATTCATTATCGACCATTTCAAAAAATTTTTTCCTTTTTTTTTTCATTTTCCGTCGTTGAACCATTGAATGACCCACAAACACAATACACACACACACATTTGATAATGGATTATTGTTGTTTTGTAAATTATTTTAAATCAAAAACAGCAACAACAACAACAACAAATTTTTTTTCGAAAACATCATTTGCAATGTGACACCCAAACCTAAACACACACACACACATTTTGATTGCAATTCTTAAACCAAACCAAAACAAAACAAATTACTTTGGGAGGAGGGGAAAAAGAAAATCTTCAGAATTGGATTGTTTTTCTCTTTCTTTGTTTTTCTGCTTTCTATCTATTTTGATCGATACATCATCGAAAAACAAAATCCATTATTTTGATTTTTTAAAAAACAAACAAAAAAATTATCAGGATTATTTGCCCAAAATCTTTTCTTCTTCTTCTTCTTCATCATCTTTTTTTTAAAGAAAACAAAAATGATATTTCATACACACACACAGCCAACAAACAAACCAGAAACAAACGCCCATACTTACACACCTACACAAACATCAAATCGTTTCTCTCTCTCGCTCTCTTTCTCTCTTTCTCTTTTTCTCTTTCTCTCTCTTGAATCTTCTTGTTCCATATATACATTATATTCTTGCTATTTATATATATACTATACATATTGATTATATGATGAATTGATAAAATATATAAATATTCGATCCAGAATGAAAAAAAAAATATCCGGTGTTAAATTTTTTTAAAATTTTTAAAATTTTTTGCGAATAGCGACATCTATGGATATATGTTATACGAAATGATCACTGGTCACATGAGCAGTACACATGTTTGTGTGTATATCAAAAAAATTGACATCGATTTTTGAATTATGATAATTTTCAATTTTGTTTTTTTCTTTTCTTAAATCATTACGAAAATGGTATAATTTTATTTTCGAAAATTTTTCTTATTGAATTTTTTGTTTTGTTTTGTTTTTGTTTTCGTTTCAGTCATTCAAATTGATTCATACACAAGAAAATGCTCATGATGATTCAATTTGGTCAATATCATGGGGTAAAAGTGAAACTGATAATGTTGAACATATTGTTACTGGTAGTCTTGATGATACTGTAAAAGCATGGAAAATGTAATTTTTTTTTCATAATTTTTATGATGATTTAATTTTAAATTTTTAATAATTATACACAAATCTAAATAGTGATCAGGATGATAATCTCGATTTACAATATATATTCGAAGGCCATTCATTGGGTGTTGCATCGGTCGATATAAATCATAATGGTACAATTGCGGCATCCAATTCATTGGATAGTATTATACGTTTATATAATCTTGATTCTGGTGATCAAATCCTAAGTATTGATGCTGGTCCTGTCAATGCATGGACAGTTGTATTTTCACCAAATTCTGAATTTTTAGCAACATGTACACAATCGGGTAAAATTGTATTGTATAATACAAATACTGGTGAAAAATATAATAATAAAGAATTGGATTCAACCGGAAAATTTACAATGTGTATTGCCATTGTAAGTATATTATTGATAAAATAAAAATCATTTTTTTTGATTTAAACATACATAATTAAAGCGAAAAGATTCGAAACAAATTGCCGGTGGTGCTATCGATGGTATGATCAAATTGTATGATGTTGAAACGGGTAAAATAATGACCACATTAGAAGGTCATGCAATGCCTATACGTTCATTAGCATTTTCATCGGATGGTAAATATCTAATATCCGGCTCGGATGATTGTCATGTAAAAGTTTATGAAGTAAAAACTGGTGAATTATTGGCCACACTTTCTGGTCATGGTTCTGCCATACTGAATGTTGCCTTTTCACCCGATAACAAACATTTTGCATCAAGGTAATTTTTTATTTATTGATTATTTTATTTTTGTTAAAATAATTGAAATTTTTTAAAATGATTTAATCATAGTTCATCGGATAAAACGGTAAAAATCTGGGATATAGATACTAAACAATGTTTGAATACATTCGATCAGCATAAAGATCAAGTTTGGGGAATAAAATTTAATCCTAATGGTACTAGATTAGCATCGGTTTCCGAAGATAAATCCATTTGTATTTATAGTTGTGCATGATGATGATAATGATAATGATAAATAAATTACACATTACCCAAGATCATTTTATATTCAATTCTTCATGGCTTTTACTCATTTCATCCTGTTCATTTTGATTTTCTTTTATTATTGAATCGGCTGTAAAATTAAAAATAAAATAAATAAAAATCATACTTTTTTTTACTGAATTTACAAACATACCTGATGAAACGGAATGTGTTTTAACTTTTGTTTCCGTATTTGAACGATTTGTATTTTGTTTATCGACCGTAGCAATAATTGAATCAATAAGATCGATACGTGAATCCAGACTATGTTGTTTATCAGTTAACATTAGACCTTTGATTCGACGTCTTAATGCTGGTCCTTGTTGTTTTTTATCCGAATCATGCATATCTTTAAAATGTTTTACAAAATCATTGGCCATATCTTGATTATCAAAAATGGCCATAAAACTAGCATTAATTATTTTCGGTGTACGTGGACAATTCGATAATAATAAACTTGTACCGAATGCAGGTGATTTCGTTTTAATTTGTCCTAATGGAATACGTATAGAATTACTGGTATATGTTGTATGTTCATTTGCAAATGATTTCAATACAATTGTAGCCATCTCTTTGATCAGATACCAATCACGTTGTATATCGGATAATTCGGTCGAATTCGATGTTACCGTAAATCGAATAACATATGTTCCTTTCAATGATGCCGGAACACAATGTAATTTTCCACTTGAATTTAATTTTTTCAATAACATTTCTGTTAATTGATTATGACCTTTCATACGGAATACAACCATACCAAGATGACGCTTGGCTGGAATTTCAAATCTTGTATCCATTTTTACTAGCTCTTCGAATGCCATTGCCAAACGAACACCTTTACGAACATGATTCTGTAATCCTTTGACACCATAATTTCGTATGACAAACCATAATTTTAATGCACGAAATCGTTTACTTAGAGGAATTTGCCAATGCATAAAATCTATAGCCAGACCAGTGTTTTCATGTTTCAAATACAATGGATCAACATTGAATGTTCGGTGTAATGATCCGCTATTCTTTACCCACATAGCCGTACAATCGAAATGAACCATCATCCATTTGGATGGATTAAACGCTATACTTTGTGTCATTTCAATACCATTCATCCATGTACGATATTCTGGACAAATGAATGCTGTACCAGCATATGCTGCATCAACATGTATCCAGATATTTTCTTCATTTGCAATTGGACCTAATTCTTTAAGATTATCAAATGCACAAGCACCGGTTGTCCCTAAAGTAGCACACAAAAAGAATGGAATCAAACCATCCTCTTTATCATGACGGATTGTATCGATTAATTTATCACCACGTAACGAACAATTCTCATCTGATTCGATGAAATGCATTTTGACCAAACCGATTAGTCCAGCTTTTTCCACTGATGAATGTGCCTGATCCGAACAATATGCTACCAAACGGCTATTGATATATGCATCATCCAAAGTATCATCATCAAATTCTTCTTTAATTCGTCGAATCATTTCTGTACGAGCGGCTAATAATGCAACAAATGTTGCTTCTGATGCTGTCGTTTGTATAACACCACCACCATTACCATTGGAACGACTATGTAGAAATTCATCCGGTAAACCGATCATTTGTCCAAGCCAATCCATAACAATAATTTCCAATTCCGTACAAGCTGGACATGAAGCCCATGTAAAACCAAGTGCATTAATAGCATTGGCCAACATATCACCCAACAATGAAGCAGGACAATTCAGAGCCGGAAAATAAGCATGCATAAATGGTGATTGCCAATGAGTAATACCGGGCATAATAATACGTTCAACATCACCAAATATATCGTTCCAATTTTCACCATTAATCGGTGCCGAATCGGGTAGTAAATTTTTCATATAACCAGGTTTCACATCCGGAAATACACGTCGTTGACGTATGGTCATCAAATAATCGGTAATATAATCAACCAATTCTTTGCCATGTTTACGGAAATCTTCCCAGTTCATATTTTATTCGTCAGAAACAAAACAGTCAAAAAAAAACAAACAAACAATCTTTTTACGACGATGATCTAACATCAAATGAAGCTCTTCAGGATTCTTTTCAATAATTTCTTGTTATCGAATCATAAAACATCATTCATAAAAATCCATTGGGATTATACTCCCTTTTTTTTACGAATAAAACAAGAATCATTTTTCAATTAAACAGTAAGAAAAGTAAATTCAATTATTTACAGTAATACATTAATTAATATTGACATTAACATTATATATCAATTTTTCTTTCCTTTTTTTTTGAAAAAAAAAATTTAATCAATTACAATTTTTTTTTTAACATACGCGTTTTTCAACAACAACAACAACAACAAAATTGAAAAGTCAAAAAAAAACACTAATTCCTTTTTTTTAAATTATTATTTATCATCAACATTTACATTATCATTTGTTTCATCATTATTTTGTTCTACATCCAATGATGGTAATGATGGATAAAGTGTAAATAATCGTGCAACATCATTCAGATCTTTTCCTTTCATACCATCATATAATATTCTACGTGCTATATGCATATTATCTACATCGAATATATTCCATAATATAATACCAACAATGGATTCATTTTTCAAATAGAATAATACACCTTTTTCATATTTATATTGTTCATCATTATCATTATCAACAACATTATTATCTTCGGATTTGGCAAACATTGCAAATGTTGGTAATTTGGAATCAATCATACCGATAGCTTCGAAACCAATATCGGCACCTAGATCGGACCAAAATCTTGCATTATGTGAATATGGTTTACCCGATTTACCACTGCTTGCATTATCACCAGCTAATCTTCCTGTATAAATAGCATTATCATGATGACAATCTCTTCGACGGCCATGTTTTGAATCATAAAAGCTAACCACATCACCGGCAGCCCAAATATTTGATTGTATTTGTAGTTCAGAATTGGCTAACAAACCACCATTAATTGGATCGATCTCAAATTTAGCGGATTTAGCAATATCGATGTTTGGTTCGGAACCAATATCAACAATACAAATATCAGTATTCAATGTTTGTCCATTTGTAAGTTTCAATGAAAGTTGATCTTTTTCCATTTTAACATCATCAATTTGAACATTCGGCATAACAATCACATCTAATTGAAATAGAAATGAGATTAATTAAAAATGATATAGAAAAATATTCGATTGGAAATTTGATATATTACTTTCGTCTTTAATTCGATCTGTACACCATCGACTTAGATAGTCGGGTAATACTTCATCCAATACACCATTCTGTTCGAATATATGATTAATTTGGACATTTGATTTTAGTTTTTTTGCTCGTTCGGTCAATGAGAATGCTAATTCACTGGCAGTGAATCCATTTCCAATAATTGTTAAGGATTTTAATTTAGGTAATAATTCATTTAATCTTTGATAATTTTCTGGATAACGATATAGAATTATTTTGTCAGCAATTTTTGGCTGTTTTTCGGTTGCTTGTTCAAAACATTTTAAATTTTTCGGCTTTGTTCCCGTAGCTATGATACATTTTCCGTATGTAATTTTTTGACCATTATCAAGATATGCTTGTTGATTGGTTACATCTAAACGATTTACTTTATGTAGTTTTACTACTGAAATACCTCCATGTGTAGCAGTATTGAATTCATTCAATGGTAAATAAAATTCTTCATGTTCAAAATAGATACTTCTTTCTTTACCATTATATTGTTTAAAACTTAATTTATCATCTAAACCACTAAACCAAAGTTCTTTAGTCAATGGTGTACGTGTATAAGGATAATGATTCTCTTCGGTTATGATCAATACACGTGCTGTAGGATCATTACCACGAATAGTACGTGCAGCTGAAAAACCACTTGGTCCACCACCAATTATTAAATATGGTACTGTTTCAGGAAGATTTTCAATCAAATTATCATGCAATGATTTACCGGTATCTTTTTCTTCTGTTATCTGTAAATTATTTGCATCAGTTATTTTAACATTAGATTTTAACGATGAACGATACACTATATATGGTACACCGATCACAATTGAACCACCAGCTATCAATTTAATTATTAGATTTGAATCAATTTTTGATTGTGATTGAGATGGTGTTGAAAATGTTCGCCTATGGGCATTAATCAATTGTCGATGTCGAACATGTGTATAATGGTGATTATGATGAATGAAATGAGAAATATTCCTATAACCATTCGTTGTATTAGCAATCAATCTCCAAGTTTTTCGAAGTAACATTATTTTTCTGAATTAAAGATTTTAATCGTTAAATCAAAAAAAAAAAAACAGAAACAAGATTTATCAAAATTCTCATGCACACATGTGACAATTGTCCCAAAAAAAAATATAAATCGACATAGTCGTCATCTATTGACAATCATTGTGAATGAATGTCAAGGATATGAATTTTATTGATTCAAAAGTATCAGTAAAAATTGAAAATGAAAATCAATCATGATAAATGATTAGGAAAACGATAAAAATAAAATGAAAAATAAAATTCCTGGAGATATACCTTTTCATTGAAGATGTTTGTTTTTCAGATTTAGATATTTTTTCTTTACTTAAATTACTAATCACTATCACTTTTCTTCAAGGACAATGTCAGATGTTTTTTTTTTAAAAAAAAAGAACAGGTTTTTATTTAGTAATTTTTGTTTTTGAAATCAAAAATAATCTGTATGATGTTTCGCTTATCATTTCAACAAAATTCCTGAAAAAAAATACATTTTATTTAGTGATGGATTTTTTCCATAACTAAAAACAAAATCATCATTTTGATTTTGGATAACATCGAATGTAATACTACAGTACATATACAGGAAAAAATGAGTTTCATAAATTTGAAGGTTTGAATTGAAAAAATTTGACAATTAATGTTATTTTTAAAAAAAAAATTTGTCATTGTTATTACAGTATAAATCGGGATTCGGTAATGAATTCCGTAGTGAAGATCCACGTTGTCCCGGTTCATTACCTGAACTACAGAATAATCCACAAGTTTGTCCATACAAACTTTATTCCGAACAATTATCTGGTTCAGCATTCACAGCACCACGTGAAACAAATAAACGTACCTGGTTTTATCGTATTCGTCCTTCGGTACTTCATCAACCATTTCAACCATATGAACGATCGAATGTTCGATCCGATTGGAATGATGTGGCACAAACACCGAATCAATTACGATGGAAACCATTTCCGATACCGACTTCGGATAAAAGCGTTGATTTTGTCGATGGATTAAGCACCATTTGTGGTGGTGGCGATTCTTCCTCTCGTCACGGTATGGCCGTGCATGTTTACACGGCAAATGATTCGATGAAGAATCGTTGTTTCCATAATTCGGATGGTGATTTTCTATTAGTTCCACAATTTGGAACACTTTATATCAGAACAGAATTCGGTAAAATGGCTGTTTCACCGAATGAAATTTGTGTTATTCAACAGGGTATGAAATTTTCCGTTGACATAACCGAACCAAGTCGTGGTTATGTATTAGAAGTGTTTGATGGTCATTTTATTCTGCCTAATCTTGGTCCGATTGGTGCTAATGGCTTGGCTAATCCACGACATTTTCTTACACCGGTTGCTTATTATGAGGATAAAGATCATATCAAATACGAGGTTATTAACAAATATTGTGGCAAGCTATTTGCCGCACAAATGGAACATAGCCCATTTGATGTTGTCGCATGGTATGGTAATTATGTTCCATATAAATATGATCTATCCAAATTTATGGTCATCAATACGGTTTCATATGATCATGCTGATCCTTCTATTTTTACCGTGTTGACATGTCCATCAACAAAACCTGGTTTTGCTATTGCTGATTTTGTTATATTTCCACCACGATGGTCAGTGGCAACAAATACTTTTCGGCCACCTTATTATCATCGTAATTGTATGAGTGAATTTATGGGCTTAATTCACGGTTCGTATGAAGCCAAAGAAGAAGGATTTCGTGCTGGTGGTGCTAGCTTGCATTCAATGATGACACCACATGGTCCAGATAATGATTGTTTCATGAAAGCAACCAAAGATAAATTGGAACCAACACGTGTAGCCGATGGTACAATGGCATTCATGTTTGAAAGTTCATTACAATTACGTTTAACTAATTGGGCATTGAATCGTGGAATATTGGATGAAGATTATTACAAATGTTGGTCAGAACTTCAAAAACATTTTGATGGTCAAAAATGAAATGTGAATGTGAATCAAAATTATTTTTATTACAAATTTCAAATAATTGACTAACCCCAAAATTATTATCAATATTACAATAACAATGAAAAAAAATTAATAATAAAAATTAATCATCTGATTCATCAATAAATTGTAATTTTTCAAATTCTTCTTGTCGTTTACGAATAATTTCATCATTAACAGTAAATTGTTTTGTTTTATTACGCCATTCATAAATTATCGGTGTATAGAAATTTGGATGATTAAATATAATGAACGATGATAATGGTAATGTTATATAGATACCGATTTTGGTAACCTCTAGAATCCAATGTCCCATGATTTTTTTTGTTGTTGATAATTTCTTGATTTTTCAAATAAAAAAATCAACAATGTGTGGTTAAAAATAGTTCGCGACTCAAAAGAAAAAGAAAACTATTTTTTTTTTATTTTCACTGAATGATGACTAATCCGGGTAGATATAGTCGATTCTTATTTATATACATACATTTTGGTGTGCGTGATTGTTTGGTTTGGGTGACAAAAAAAAAAAAAAAAAAAAAATTGAATTTTTTTTTTTGTGTACGAAAAACATTTGTCCTTTTAAAAAAAAAAAAAAAAACACCAT